AAAAGATTTATTTATTTATTTTGTATACAGCATGTATGACCAGAAGAGGGCACCAGATCTCATTACAGATGGTTGTGAGCCAACATGTGGTTGCTGGGAATTGAACTCAGGACCTCTGGAAGAGCAGTCAGTGCTCTTAAGCTCTCAGCCATCTCTCCAGCCCCCCCCCCTTTTTTTTTTAAAGATTTATTTATTTATTTTCTAGCCAACTTTCTTTAACTTAAATTATTCTGCTTATCACCGGGTGGTGGTGGTGCATGCCTTTAATCCCAGCACTCGGGAGGCAAATCTTTGTGAGTTCAAGTCCAGCCTGGTCTACAAAGTGAGATCCAGGACAGGCTCCAAAGCTACACAGAGAAACCCTGTCTCGGGGGGGAAAATTATTCTGTTTATCCTTTGCCTCTGGGTTTTTTTCCTTTTTTTTACTTCTCTTACTTTGTGGCTGACTGAGTGACTGGGTGGCTGGCCCCCAGTGTCCTCCTCTCCTTGTTCTCTTGCTTGCTCCTCTGATCCGTTAATGTTCTTCTCCTTCTGTTTATTCTCTCTGCCCACCAGCCCCACCTCTTTCTCCTGCCTAGATATTGGCCATTCAGTTCTTTATTAGACCATCAGGTGTTTCAGACAGGCACAGTAACACAGCTTCACAGAGTTAAACAAATGCAACATAAAAGAATGTAACACATCTTTGCATCGTTAAACAAGTGTTCCACAGCATAAGTGAATGTAACACATCTTAAAATAATACTCTACAATACCCTCTTTCTCAATTGATCCCTCTTGCCATATGTATTCCAGTGCTCTTTTTCCCGTATTCCCCCTTCCTTTATGATCTCTTCCTCCCTTCAGGTTATCTCCCTACACACACACACACACACCACTAAAATTTAAAGTCTTCATTTGGAAGAAAATATTCAGTGTTTATCTTTCTAATTCTGACTTATTTTGATTAATGTAATTTCCAGTTCCATCCATTCCTACAAAGGTCATTGTTTCTCTTTTTAATGCCCAAATATAATTCCTTTGTGTAGCCAGGCAGTGATGGCACATGTCTTTAATCCCAGCACTTGGGGGGTGGGGGAATGAAAGAGGCAGATGGATCTCTGTGAGATCGAAGTCAGCCTGGTCTACAGTGTGAATTCCAGGACAGCCAGGGTTGTTACACAAAGAAACCCTGGCGGGGGGCGGTGTGTGTGTGTGTGTGTGTGTGTGTGTCTGTTTTGTATATATACCATATTTTCATTATCCATCCATCTGTTGATGAATATCTAGGATGGTTTCATTTCCTGGCTATGGTGAACAATTCGGCAATAAACATGAATATCTAAGTGTCTTCAGTGTGTTTGTGTTATGTAGTCTAGTGATACATAGCTAGGTCATTTACTAGTTCTTACTTATATTTTGAGGTTACCGTGGCAACACGGTGTAGGTCAGCGGACAACTTGAAGGAGTCTGTTCACTCCTTCCACCTTGTAAGCCCTGGGAAATGGAATTTGTTTTAGATCATCAAGTCTGGTAGCAAGTGCTTTTACTCACTGAGCCATCTCTCTGGTCCTATTTTTAGTTGTTTGTAAATTTTGTTTTCTGAGGAGACCACACTGATTTCCATAGTGACTGCACCAGTTTTCACTCCCACCAGCAGTAAATGAAAGTTCTCCTTTCCCAAATCCTATCGAGGGTTTGTTTTCTTGACAGCCATTCTACTCAGGTGAGATGAACTCTCAGAGCGGTTTTAATTCCATTTCCTAGTGGCTAAGGATACTGGCAGAAGCCAGACACAGACAACCTCTGCTGCTCTCACTTAAAAGGGCAGCAGCTCTCCTAGAGTTAAGCCTGTGTGCTGTCCCAGAGGCCCACCCATGGCTGTGAAGCCGCTGGTAACAGGAGCAGAACTCTCTGGCTGTGTAGCTGCCTGAAGAGCAACTGTGGGTAACAGTGTGCTGTGCCTCTCAAAAAGCCAGAAGAAAGAGGTTTTTATGTTCAGGCTATCTGTGTATTATTTCTCCTGCAGTTGTACATAAAATGGCTTTACATTCCAAAAAAGGACAAATACTATAGAATTGTATTACATGAAATATATAGAATATACAAATTCATAGAGACAGAAAGATTGGACGTTATCTCAAGATGGAGAAGAAAGGAATATAGAGCAATGATTTCCTAAGTACAGAACCTCTGTTTTGTGTGATGGAAAAGCCCCACAAACAGACAGTAGTATCAGGACATAATCTCATGACTGTAATAAATCAATACAATTAATGTAATTAATGAATATCATAAATGTAGTTATTGAAGGAATACTGCAAATGTAATCAATGAATACCACAAGTGTAATTAATGAGTGTAATTAATGAATATCATGACTTAATTAAAAATAAATAAAAAGGAAAAAAGCTAGAAGAAAGAGGTTTAAGAGTTTTTGTCATAAAGCAATGATAAATAACATGTGTTTAACCCAATGTAAACACCAGTGTACATATATACTGAAACATCACACAGTCCGGTGAATATGTATAGTTTTAAAAAAAGTTTAGAGGTGGGGTTGGGGATTTAGCTCAGTGGTAGAGCACTTGCCTAGCAAGTGCAAGGCCCTGGGTTCAATTCTCAGCTCCAGAAAGAAAAAAAAAAGCTTAGAGCTGGGGAAATAGCTCAGTTGGTAAAGTGCTTGTCTTGTAAGCATGAGGACCTGATTGCCAGAACCCATGTTTAGAAAAAACAACAAAAAAGGCTGAGTACGGCTGTTGAGATGGCTCAGCAGATAAAGGTGTTTGGTGTGCAAACCTATTGACCTGAGTTCATTCCCTGGATCCCCGGCAGGAACAAACCAACTCTAGAGGTGTCTTCTGACTTCCACACTTGTGCCTTGGCATGAACACATACACACACACAATACTTTTTTTAACTGAGCATGGTGGTATGTGCTTGAGTCCCAGCACTGGAAAGGCAGAGTTAGGTGGATTCCTATAGCTCACTGGTCTATTAGCTTCTCCTGCTCAGCAAGCTCCACCACAGTGAGAGACCCTGTCTCAAAAACAAGGTGGATAATGACTAAGGACCAACTAAGGAGATTGTCCTCTGGCTCCCACATGCATATGCATGCACACCTGAACATACTTGCACACATGAACACATGAGCAGATAAGTTAAAAATATGACTCGGCTCACCGATGTGGTCCTTCATAACTTGGGGGTAGTCACCAGCATAAATAGGGTTGGCAAACCAACCAAGACAGAACTGTAGGTATCTCTCAGCTGCCTCAATATCGTTGGGGTTGTTGATGTCCACAGGCTCCCCCCAGTCACAGTTGAGTGAAATTCCCACCATGCCTTAAAGGAAGGAAATGGGGGTAGAGAGAGGCAGGATCTGGCTCCTCTGGGCCTGTGTCTGAGCCTGCGGGTCCCAGCTCACCTTGCTGTTTGCTCCGCCATTTGGTGTTGTAAGAATGCCAGGCTTGGGCGTGTGCCTGAAAAAGAGAAGTCATCGTGCACCTGGCTCTTCCATTGCCCTGCCTGCCTGTCTTCTTTCCTTTCTTCCTCCCTCCATTTCTTCCTTCTCTTCTTTTGTTTACTTTGGAGGTGGGGGGTTCAGAGGACAGCATGCAGGAGTCGATTCTCTCCTTCTACCATTCCAGGAATTGAACTCAGGCTGTCGTTCTGCCTGGCTCTGCCTCCTGAGTGCTGGGATTAAAGGCGTGTGCCACCACCGCCCGGCTGGCTTTGAACTCTTAACCCTCCTTGTTGCAGGATATTTGCTTACATGCGTGAAGATGTGTCTGTGTTTTGCCTCACCTGCCTAAGGCACATGATTGGTTTAATAAAGAGCTAACTGGCCAATAGCTAGGCAGGAGAGAATAGGCGGGACTTCCGGGGAGAGAGAGGAACTCAGGAAGACTCTGAGGCCTGTGGTATTAAGCTAGGGAAACACAGAGGGAGTAAGGTGTACAAAATAGAGGAGAGGTAAAGAGCCATGTGGCAGAACGTAGATGAATAGAAACAGGTTAGTTTAAGTTATAAGAGCTAGTTGGGAGCAAGCCTGAGCTAAGGCCAAGCTTTCATAATAATAAATCTCCGTGTCAGTTTCTGGGGGCTTGGTGGTCCGAAGAAAGTCCAAGAAGAAAGACCCGATACCCCTCCTGCCTCCACCTCCCAGCTGCTGGGACTACAGGTGTGTCCTCAGGCCCACCTGCAATCTTTGTTTAAACAAGGTCTCCACGCGTTTCTGACATTTGCTGAAGTTTGAGACTCATTCATATGAAAACTCAAATGGTTCAGGCTGCAGAGGTTTCGAGTGTTACTTGTTGTTCCCCAAAAGCCCTTATTTCAGCATCCTCTTTCTGCTTTGTGTGTGCGTGTGTGTGCATGCATGTATATGTGTGCACCCATGTATGCAGCATGCAAAACATGTGCATGTATATGTGAAGGTCAGAGGTCAATTGTGTGTGTGTGTGTATGTGTGTGCATGCGTGCAAGCACACGTGAGCATGTGTGTACACACGCTCGAAGCATGCAGGTACATGTGCATGTGTATGTGGAGGTCAGAGGTCAGTCTTGGGTGGTGTTCCTCATGAGCCATCCACCTTGGTTTTTGCAACAGGGTCTCTCACTGGGACCTGAATGAAGCCTGCTCCAGTAGGCTGGGTTGTGGCCAGCAAGCTCCAAGAATCCTTGTCTCAGCCTCCCAGTGCTGGGATTGCAAGGTGCTTTACCACACAAGCTGGCTGGTTTTGTGCCAACTTGACACAAGCTAGCAGAGAGGAGGGAACCTCAAGTGAGAAAACGTCTCTGTAAGATCGGGTGTAGGCAAGCCTGTAGGGCATTTTCTTAATTTGTGATTGATGGGGAGGGCCAGACCTTTGTGAGTGGGCCAACCCCTGGGCTGGTGGACCTGGGTTCTATAAGAAAGTGGGCTCTAAGAAAGTTGTCATCAGAGAGGCTTCCTCCAGCAGCTGATGGGAGCAGATGCAGAGACCCACAGCCAAACTTTAGGCAGAAAGAGCCCAAACTAGAGATCTCCATCAGGTCCCTTCCCTTGGAGCTCAGGAAACCCCGTGGAAGAGGGGGAGGAAGAATTATAGGACACCAGGAGAACATGGCCCACGGAATCAACTAAGCAGGACTCATAGGAGCTCATGGAGACTGAAGTGGCAATCACAGAGCCCGCATGGGTCTGTGCTAGGCCCTCTGCATACGTTACGGTTGTTAGCTTGGTATTTTTGTGGGACCCCTAACAGTGGGAGTGGGGGTGTCTCTGACTCTTCTGCCTGCTCGTGGGACCCTTTTCCTCCTACTGGGTTGCCTCACCCAGCCTTGATATGAGGGTTTGTGCCTAGTCTGATTGTAACTTGTTAAGCCATGTTGGGTTGATATTCCTGGGGGGCCTGCTCTTTTCTGAAGGGAACCTGAGGAGGAGTGGATCTGGGGAAGGGAGGAGGTGGGGGGAGAACCTCGGAGGAGTGTCGGAAGGGGAAACTGTGGTTGGGATGTATTGTATGAGAGAATTTTTTTAAAAAAAAAAAAGAAAGCAAGCTGAGCAAGCCCTGGGGAGCAGTCAGTAAGGTACTCCTCAAAGGCCGCTGCAGCAGCTCCTGCCTCCAGGCTCCGCCCTGCTGGAGTTCCTGCCCTCACTGGTTTTGGTGATGGATAAGTGTATTTATAGTGTACACACATACATGCATACTTATCTGTGAGTAAAATAAACCCTTTCTTCACCACGCTGCTGGTGAGCACAGTGACAGAGGTGCTTTGAGTAAGAATGCCACCCCCCACCCCCGAATGCTGAGTCACCAGGGAGTGGAACTCTGATAAGGTTAGAAGGATTAGGAGGTGTGGCCTTGTTGGAGGAAGTGTGTCACAGTGGGTGGGCTTTGAGGTTTCAAAAGCCACTGCCAAGCCCAGCCTGTCTGTCTGTCTGTCTCTCTCTCTCTCTCTGCCTGCAGATCAGGCTGTAGCTCTCAGCTCCTTCTCCAGCACCGGACCTGCTCTTATGCTCCCTTTCGTGACGGTAATGGACTAAGCCTCTGAAACTTCAAACCAGCCCACAGTTAAATGTTTTTCTTTATAAGAGCTGTGTGGCAGAGGCAGCTGACCTGTGCTCATGGGAGCTCACGGACTCTGGACCAACACCTAGGGACCCTGCATGAGACCCATGTCTGCGTGTGTGTGTGACAGTTGTGTACCTTGGTCTGCTTGTGGGGCGCCTAGCAGTGCCCTCAGGACCTGTCCCTGGTGCTTGAGCTGGCTTTTGGGAACCTATTCCCCATGCTAGGTTGCCTTGTTTCACCTTGAAGCAGGGGGAGGGGCTTGGTTCTGCCTCAGCTTGATGTGCCATGCTTTGTTGATGCCCATGGGAGGTCTGCCCCTTTCTGAACAGAGGTGGAGGAGGAGTGGATGGGGAGAAGGGTAGGTGGGAGGCTAGGGGGAGGGAAGGGGAGGAGAGGAGGGAAGGGAAGCTGGTCAGTATATAAAATAAATGAAAAATTTTAATTAATAAAAAAATTAAAGAGTTGTGTGATCAGCCGGGCAGTGGTGGTGCACACCTTTAATCCTGACATTCAGGAAGCAGAGGCAGGTGGATCTCTGAGTTTGAGGCCAGCCTGGTCTACAGAGTGAGTTCTAGGATAGTCAGAGCTACACAGAGAAACCCTGTCATGAAAAACAAAAAAAAGAAAGAAAGAAAGAAAAAGGAAAAATGTGCCATGGTCATCACTGCATTAATAACCCCAACTAAGACCCTCATTAGGGTTGTTAATCCTAACCCAGTTTTTTCCCTGGGTCCTGGGGCTTGAACTCGATTCTTCATGCTTGCATGGCAAGCACTCACAGACTGGGCCATCCTTCCAGTCCCTGTGCTTGATATTTGCTAGCTAGTATGTAAGTAGAAAAACAGGATGAACCCTGGAATTGTCTGGTGACGTGGAACGTCGCTAAGACAGTATCACAGTCCTAACTGTTCATATCACTCTTTCATAGATTGCTCTGCCCTTTAACGGTTCAGTTAAAGCACTCTTAAGTCAGGCTGGAGCAGTGACTTAGTGGTTAAGAGCACTGGCTGCTCCTGCAGAGGACCCTTGCTTAGTTCTCAGCACCGGCATGGCAGCTCACAACCACTTATAACTCTAGTCCCAGGAGAGCCAACTCCCTTTTCTCGGCCTGCCAGAGCACCGCCTTGCACATGGTGCACCTACCTACATACAGGCAGAATACACATACATGTGAATTAAAAATAGATCTTCATAAAAAGCTCAAGTTGCCAGGCAGTGATGGTGCACACCTTTAATCTCAGTGCTCAAAAGGCAGAGGCAAGTGAATCTCTATGAGTTCAAGGCCAGCCCGGTCTACGGAGTGAGTTCCAGGACAGCCAGGGTTACACAGAGAAACCCTGTCTCAAAACAAAACAAAACATCAGTTTTGTAAAAAGTAAGAGAACTATGAGAGTTGTTTCCCTGCCATGAACTCAGGTTGATGTGACACCATCATGTGTGGTCTATCCTTTCAGCCAGCCGTCCCCGGGGAGAGTTCAGCTTTGTGTCCCCAAATACATCGCTCCTGTATTTTCATTCATGTCTTGTAAGCAGACCACTGTCTCTGCCCTTCCTCAGCTTTCAGTGATGTGAGGTACCTTCTCTGAACGCCCCCTTCCCATTCCTGCAGATAACCAACTGGCTGCCCGGAAGACTTCCACTAGGACTCATCAAACTGGAAAAGGATGTGTCTGCCTTGCTCTCTGATGATGCTTCCAAACTGTTCCTCCCCTTCCTTCCCAAACCCCAGGTCATGACCAGTGCTCACTCTGACTCCTTCCCGCTGGTCTTTGCCGCCTCTGGTTTCTTCCTTCTATTATCCTTGCATATTTTATCCCTTATTTACCGTCACATACCTTCTTCCCATCACCATTCTCCATATAGTTTACACCTACACACACAGATTTCCAGATGCCTGTCTCTATCCTCTGGGGAAGACAAACAGTAGCTGCTGTAATACCTCTACATAGTGGAGTGACTGTGAGGAGATAAGACGTAGGAGGTGCCCTCTGCATATCCTCAGCAGAAGGGCCCATGTCACATACTGATGTGGCAGAGGATCAACGTGACCCCCAAGGCCGTGACTCCACCTGGAGCCCAACCCTCGCCCCAGATGGATCTGGCTTACCTTAATGATATGGTGTGCCGCCACGTACAGACCAGTGCCCTGGAGCCTCAGGCCTGGTGCGTGGAGACCGGTCTCATAGCCTTTTTCTACCATGGTCTGCAGAGACAGCAGTGGGGACCCCATGAGTGGGGACCCCAGTGCCATGAGGGACAACAGGGGCCACCCCTGTCTCCCCATCTGAGGAGGAGCCCCTACTTACCCGGGGATCACTGAATGTGAGCCAGTGCTTTACTCGGTCCCCAAAGACCTCAAAACACAGGTCAGCGTAGTCCCTGAAGTATCGGGTCATGCTCGCATTCTGCCACCCACCGTATGTGGCCTGGAGCATCTGCCAACAGAGAGAGAAGCTGGTACCCTGGGGAGACTGGAGGAGGTTGGTGGAATGCCTGGGGAAAGCACGGAGGACCGCTACAAGAGCGGGAACAAAGAGGCAGGGTGGCGCACAGGGCCCCTGTGGCAAAGGAGTACATCCTGTGAGTGAGCCAGAAACAAGGCAGCAGAGGCAGCTGGAAATGCCTGCTCAGGAAGAGCTGACACATTGGATAGTTAAGACGTAAACTGGACATGCCCCTCATCCTAGCACTCAGGAGGATCAGAAGTTCAGGGTCATCCTCAGGTACTTAGCAAGCTCGAGGTCTTCCTGGGTGGGTGCTGGGTGAGCTATGATCCTGGGGAAATGTCTAGAACATCCATTGTGAGTGTGGAAGGCTGGCACTGGTAGGAGAGCCCTGGTGGGAATTTTGCGGGCACGCCCTGGAACCTCAGCTATTAGTGCGAGGTTACCTCCATGGCAGAGGCCTGCTGTCCACTGCCTGGGCACAGGGCTAGTCATCCATCTGGTTACCTAGTGCCCTCCTGGTATGCTCGAAGAGATGCTTCCTGGACAAGTTAGTAGAAGCTGCAAACCTGGTGTGTCCTCTGCCCCAGCCTTTACTAGTTCCCCGACCTAACTTCCAGTCCGCTTGGAGCTGGGGGCCTCAGACCACTCCTCCAGTCTCCAATAACGCTCTACAGCATGCCCCTCCCACCCAGAAGCCCGCCCACTCCCCCACTCCCCCATACCTCCCCCCTTGACCCTTCAATGTGTGGATTACACCCCACCTTCTCCCCCATTCCTCCTTAAAACTTTGGACGGAGCGCCATTTGGCACAGGTCACAGGCAGCCTTATCCTTGGCGTGGCTGTGATCTCTGTCGGGCCCAGGTGAAGGAAGGATAAACTGCCTGATAGTTGACAGCAGTCTCTCAGGTGTGCTGGGGCATGGCTGGCTGGTCATGGTGGTCATGGATGAGGGCAAGTGGTACTGCCTCAGACGCAGGGAAGAAAGGCTGAACAAAACCCGTGGAACACACCATGTCACCAAACCTGAGTCCACAGGTATTGCTTGGGCCTAGGTTTTTCAGCTCCGTAGTACAGTGCTTGTCTAGCAAGCACAGGGTCCCGGGTTCAGTACCCTGCAGTGTACATACATACACAAGGATTTTTCTGATTTTTTTTTTTTTGAGTTGATCTTGTATCCTGCCACTTTACTGAAGGCATGTTATCAGCTGCAGGAGTTCCTTGGTAGAGTTTTTGGGGTCACTTGTGTATACTATCATTTCATCTGCAAATAGTGAAAGTTTGACTTCTTCCTTTCCAATTTGTATCCCCTTGATCTCCTTTTGTTGTCTTACTGCTCTAGCTAGAACTTTGAGTACTATAATGAATAAATATGGGGAGAGTGGACAGCCTTGTCTTGTTCCTGATTTTAGGGGAATCACTTTGTTTCTCTCCGTTTAATTTGATGGTGGGATTTTTTCTTTTTTGATTATTTTTTCCTTATGCCAAATGTTGTGTAAAACATTAGGACCACCCTCTTCACTTACTACAGGCAGCATGACCTCCCAGCCAATGCTGCTTGTGTGTGTATGTGGGTGGGGGTGGGGTGGGAAGAGGCTGGAGGGGCAGAAATCAATGGCAGGTGTCTTCCTTAGTCACTCTCCACCTTATTTTTGAGACTGGAGCTCATGGATGTGACTGTGCTAGGCTGGGTGGCAGTCTTCACCAAGAGCCAGGATTACCGGCACATGCCACCCATCACGCCCGGCTCTTTATGTGGGTGCTGGGGACGGTCCTCGAGCGAGCCCTCGTGCTGGCTTGGCAGGTGTTATCGACGGAGCCATCCCTCCAGCCCCGTGGATGTTATGAAACCTCCTCATGAACAGGATCCTGTATCTTATAAAGTGACGTTCATTCCTGTCACCCTTCCGCCTCTGCCTCGCGGGGACACAGCGCCGCCTAGAGGACACAGTGTTCAAGACCCAGTCCCTACCTCACTGATTCTTTCAGCATTTGACCTTGATTCTCAGCCTCCAGAACTGAGACAGACTTCTGATGCTTTTAACTTCACCAGTCTGGCATTCTACCGCAGAAGCACAAGTAAGCCAAGACAGTCATTCCTCACATCTTCCTATGGAGAGCCAAACCCCAGGCGCTGCCCCCTTTCTCGGTCACTTTAGGTCCTCACACCAGGCTCCCTCCGGCCGAACCCAGCTCCTCTAAGCCTGCCTGGCCCTCACCTGCGGCAGATCCCAGTGGTGCAAGGTCACAATGGGGGTGATGTTGCTCTTCAGCAGGGCGTCAATGAAATCACTGTAGAATTGGATCCCTCTGTTGTTCACCTGTTCAGCTGAAAGTGAAACAGAACTTGGCCTTTCCTACCACATTCTCGGGTCCCATGGCCTGCTGCAGGCTGAAGCACCCGGAGCCCACGATGTCCTGAGCCACAGACGAATGCTGTTGGTATGCCTGGAGTCCGGTTACCTGCTGAACCCATGCTCCTGGGCTGGTCACCCTCACTGGACATTGATCCCTGCAGAGCCTAGGGAGGGACTATTGTAACTCACCTCTGACACCCGTGGGCAGGATCCGTGGCCAAGACAGGGAGAATCGGTAGTGACTGACATGTAGCTCCTTCACCAGGGCAATGTCCTCCTGGGTAGACAGGGTGGGGACGCAGGGGAAGACAAGTCTTGGGGGCCTAGAGAATCATACCTATCTGCAGCTCCAAGCGGTGTCCTCTATAAGGGCTATACTACGAATTCCCTCTCCATTCTGGCAATGTGCTCACAGAGGAAAGGATGGGGGAACTTGAGAAGTCCTTGCAGGATTCCCATAAACTTGAATGAGAAAAGGGTTTCTAAAGGCGAGTTGCCCCGTGCCCTCCTGAAGGCTCCGGGGCCAAGACGCCGGCCCTTCCGCGCCTGGTTGCTTGGACTGAGTAAGGTACTGACGCATCTCGTTTTCCTCCTTCCTACCTCCTGGCTCTCACAGCCCTAGCCATCTCTGCCCCGCCCCCTTTGGCTGGGGACAGGGTGATTAGCGGTGACATCAGCAGTGAGATGTCCCCACCTCTCAGGCAGGATGGCGCCACCGCCCCCTCACTCACCTGAACTTGATAGTAGCTGTCGCAGGCTGCGTCGGCTGTGTCGTCCCCCAGGACCTGCCCCTTCCTGCCATGCGTGAAGGCATCCCAGATGCTGGGCCCTTTCCCGTCCTGGTCCCACGCACCTTCGGTCTGGTAGGCAGAACTGCCCACGCCCCAGGAGAAACCTGCAGAGAGAGGCCCCCACGCCAGGCCCTGGGCCACCCCAGCTTCACCTACACTGGGAACTCCAACCCTGCTTCCCAGGCTCAGGGCACCCACCCGATAGCCTGCCCCGTCTCCCCGGAATAGGAATCTAGGGGGCAAGGAGAGGGAAGATACAGTAATCAAAAACATTTTGTGGGGGCTGGAGAGATGCCGCCGCCGTCAAGAGCACCGGCTGCTCTTCCAAAGGACCTGGGTTCAATTCCCCATCCACATGGCAGCTCACAACTGTCTGTAACTCCAGTTCTAGGACCCAACACCCTCATACAGGCATACATGCAGGCAAAACACCAATGCACATTAAAAAAAAATTTTTTTCTTTTTTTTTTTTTCCGAGATAGAGTTTCTCTATAGCTTTGGAGCCTGTCCTGGAACTCTCTCTGTAGGCCAGGCTGGCCTTGAACTCACAGAGATCTGCCTGTCTCTGCCTCCTGAATGCTGGGATTAAAGGCACATTTTTTTTTTAATTAAAAAAATTTGTGTGCAGTTACAACTCTAATGTCTATAGATTTTAACAAGTTGTTTTAGATTTTTATTTTATTTTTTATTATCAATTTGTGTTTGGGGGCTGAGAAGTGTGTGAGAACAGGTGTCTAAAGAGGCCAGAAAGGGGCCTGGATCCCTTGGAGCTGGGATTCCAGGCAGTTGTGAGTCACCACATGGATGTGGGTGCTGGGGGCTGAACTCCAGTCCGCCACAGAGCAGTGAGCACTCTTTTGTTTGTTTGTTTTTTATTTTTGTTTTTTCAAGACAGGGTTTCTTTGTGTAACCCTGACTGTCCTGGAACTCACTCTGTAGACCAGGCTGGCCTCGAACCCACAGAGATCCACCTGCCTCTGCCTTCTGAGTGCTGGGATTAAAGGCGTGCGCCACCACCGCCCAGCTAAGCACTGTTAACTGATGAATTCTAGTAAGTTTTAAAACGTCTTTGGGTTAGGGATGTAGCTCAGTACAAAAGTGCTTGCCTAGCATGGACAAGCTGTACGTTGGATTCAATTTCCAGCACCACATAGACACAATGATGGACTGAGACACCCCCCCTACACACACACACACACACACACACACACACACACACACACACACACCTACACACCTACCTATCAGGAAGTTTTTCTTTAGAACATCCACCTGGAGGTGTTTCCCATTGTACCGGACCAGAGCACCCAATTCCTTGGCAACTCAGCCAAGGTAAGGAGGCCAACAGAGACCGACAAATGGATAGACAGACAGACAGTCTAAGGACAGAATAGGGAAGGAATGGACATACCAGGTGGAAAGGTTCCATAGTAGAAAGATGCCTCTTCTGGGGATCCTCTCCTGGCAGCCCCTACCCTGGGCACCAGCAGGATCCACTCAAGGATGATGACCCACACTGTCTTCATGACACCCCACTGTCCTCCATGCCTAAGAGCCCCTGTCAGGGCTCAGGGACATGGGCCAGGAGGCGAGGAAAACAGGCCACGGAGTGGTTTGTCTGGGCACACAGCAGCAGTGGGGGGAACCCTGTGTTAAACAGTGGGCAGACGCTGGTCTACCGCGCCCAACTTCACACCAGCCCCTGCCCTGATCACGGTGTGATAGAGAGCTGGGGCCCACGCACCTCACATAGCTCTTATCTAATGGGGAACCCACCTCTGCCTCAGAAAGTTCCAGTCTGCTGGGGGAGCCCCACAACCCAGAGTCCCCTCAGCCCTCCTGCATCCCTCCTGGGTAGCCTATATGGTGTGCTCTCCCTAACTAGGACCCTCTGTCCTTGGCTGTTAACAAGACCTCTTCCCACTGGGTCCCCGTCTTACCCAAGGTGGTCCTCAGCCCTCGACACCCCAGGGCCCCTGTTGTCAGCCACAGCTCCCTCTGAATGACTCCTGGAGCCCGCATCTCCCCCAGATCAGAGCCCACAGTCATGGAAGCCTCTAGTCGGGGGTGTGGTCTGTGGCCTGATCCCAACAAAGAGTTCCAGTAATCCCACAGGGAGGACATGGGCCAGAGTGCTGAGCTGGTCAGAAGGGACTGAGTCAGCAATAGCCCGGGCGCTGGGCCCTGGGCATCCAGCTGGCTCCCTACCAGAGGAGAAGGGCCGAGAGGTGGGAGGTGACCTGGTCCTCCCAGCTCCTTCCAGGCCTCACCAGACCTTCAGCACAGTCCTGGGCATCCTGAGGTGGGCGTGTGTACTCAGGACCAGCTGGGTTGATGATGCCTCAGTTTACCCTTCTTGCTGTCACGGCAAAATCTCTCAAGAAGGTGATGTTGGATTTTCACCTAAGTCCCCTGTCCTCAGACCTCTCATCTTTTCCTTAGTTTGCTCATTCCGCCATCGATGATACCTGGGGAAAACATGTGGGTCGAGACTTCTACCACCTGTTTCCATCCCAAGGCAGCTCTCCTGGCAATGAGCATCCACCAAAAAGTCCCCCACCCCAGGGCCGGGCCGTGGTGGCTCACACCTTTAATCTGAGCACTCGGGAGGCAGAGGCAAGCAGATCTCTGTGAGTTCGAGGCCAGCTTGGTCTACAGAGGGAGATCCAGGGCTGCATAGAGAAATCTTGTCTCGGGAAAAAAAAGGTCTCCCTCTAACAGACCCTCGCTCCACTCGGCCTGAAGCCCCCTCGCTTCCACGGCACGTGTCTCTCTCAGCCTGCAGACCTTACCCTTCGTGGTTGGTTCTTCTCTAACTTCTCCAAGCATTCACTAGGCCATCACCTCCTCCTTCAGGAAGTCCCTAGACCTGCCCATCCCCAGCCCTCCAGCCCTGCAATCCCATGTCATCTGTGAATTTGTCCCTGGCTCCCCTCAGAGCCCCACTCCCCTGGGATACAAAGGCATGCCTGCCCCTTCACCCCAGATCCCGAGAGCCAGGGCAGTGAGCACTCAGTACTGTGGGACAAAACTAAATTTTACAATTGCCTAAGAAAGGCTAATGCTGTGTTCTGGTTAATCTTGTCAACTTGATGGGATTTAGAGTCACCATGGAGACACATCTCTGGGTATGTCTCTTAGGAGTTATCTAGATAGCGTTGATTAAAGTGGGAAGCCCAGCCTGATGTGACCGTGACCATCCCATGGGCCAAGGTCTTGACTGAATAAAGAGAAATGAGCTGAGTACCAGCAGCCACCTCTGTCAGCTTCCGGCCTGCAGAGGTGATGTGGCCAGCTACCTCTGTTCCTACTGCTCTGTCGCCCTCCCCATGATGGACTGGACCCCAGAACCATGAGCCAGAACAAGCCCTTTCCTAAACTGCTCTTTGTCAGGGGTTCTGTTCCAGCAACAAGTAACTGAGACCCTGACCGGGTGGATGTCCCACGGCCTTCACAGATTGCTGTACTTAACCCCAGTGCCCAAGCCAGCAGGGTTGAACCCGCTCAGTTTTCAGAGGAGCCCCTCTTAGACATGACCTCTGTCCTTCAGGGTCTCTCCTCCCAGTTCCAAGGGTCCCTGGCAGATCCGTGGATGACGATGGGACCGGCTCCCTGACCAAGAGAGAACTGACTGAACAGAGGACTGACCCATAGGGGTGCCGAGCTTAGTTTTGTTTCTGTTGCTGTGGTAAAGTACTCCAACAAAGGAGACTTGGGGGAGAAAGGGTTTATTTTAGGTCACATTTCCACATTATAGTCTACCAATGCCAGGAAGTCAAAACAGCAAGAGTTCAAGACAGCTGATCACATTGCATCCGTACGTAGCCAAGAAGCAGAGAGGAATGAAATCATGCATGCATGTTACTTACTGCTCAGCTCACTTTTCTCATGTAGTCCAGGACCCCGAGCCTAGGGAATGGAGCCGTCCACAGTGGGCAGGTCTTCCCACATCAATGAATGCAATTAAAATAACCCCTCACAGGCATCCTCAGAGGCTCTTCTCCTAAGGAATTCTAGATTGTATCAAATTGACAATTAACCACCATCGCAGTCCCTCCCCTCCATTCTTACCACCCTTGGGTCCCCTATGTCCTCCTCCTCAAGCCTGCCAGCAGCTGGAGTCTGAGGGGGCTGGAAAGCTAGAGAGGGGTACACAGGATGATGGGAATGAGGGCTAGCCTCACAGAGTCTTGAGAGATGTTGGGCATGGTCCTTGAAGGATATGGGAACACTTGCCAAATGGTACAAAGCAGGAAGGACCATGGACACAGATAGAGGGGACAACTGGAGCGTCCATCCCAAGCATGTTGGGCGGGGGGACCTGTGGGTTAGGATCTTTTCTCTCCTTGCATTATTCCTGCAGTGCCAAGCCTGGTCATGTTCACATGACATGCATCTTCTAGTGACCACAGCCATTGTGGGCTGTTTCTGTGGTACCCCGTTTCCAACCAGTGGGCTCTGGGCACGCTGTCTTCTAGGCGACAGTGGCAGGAAACGTACCCGCTTTAAGAGCTGATGTCATCTCTGAAAAATGTCCCTACCCAGGAGCCTGGGCTCGTGGTGTTTATGTTGGAAAGGCTGGTCAACCCAGCATGGTGGGGCTGCCTGGGGTCTGAGGAGAGACCTGGCTCTAATCCCACTGACTAGGCCTGGCTCTGGCCGGGAGAGGAAAGGGCCTCATGGCTGGTGCCCCTCCTCAGTGTTCCCCGGCTCCACACACACACTCTCCAGCGGCTGCCTGAGGTCTGCATAGGGCTCAAAGCCCCTGGTGACCAAGCTGGGCTGACGAACAAAGTGTGTTAAAGACTGGGAGGCACTCTTGCCCCTCCCACCCCAGCTTCTTCCTCTTCCTTGCCAGCAAGGGACTGTGAAGATGGTGCCCATCACTGTCCACCCTGTCGGGACCCCAGACCCAGCCTGAACTCTTGACTATGATGGTAGACTTCACCAAAATGAAGGATCTGGTTCCCAGGCCTCATGGCACCGTGGGTCCCCAGGCACAGGCCATGTGGGAGCTGTTATTGGCCTGGCAGGAGTGAAATTATTCTAAAGAGAGACACTTGTGCCCCTCCCAGGCTAGTGAAGCCAGGTGCCAGTCAGAGAAAGTTTGTCTCCGAGAAAGAGGTTTCCCAGAGTTCTTTTCAGAAATGGTAAAGCCACCTTGCAATAGGGACTGGAGCTGAGACAGTGATGGATCACTGGTGGGCAGGACCTCACCGTGACCAGGACTGTCCTTGACTACATAGCTCTGATCTTCTACTTAAGTATTTATTTGTATTTATATACGTGAGTGCGTGTGCATGTGTGCCTGTGTATTCAGGTACTTGCAGAGGCCTGAAGAGGGTGTCTGATCCCCTGGAGTTAGAGTTATAGGCAGCTATGAGCTGTGCTGTGTGGGGGCCGGGGCCTGAACTTGGTTGGGTCTTCTAAAAGAGAGCCGGTGGGCTTAACCACTGAGCCATCTCTCCAGCCCCTTACGTCCTCTATTTATATCTAAACCTCATGTCTAGAGGAACTTGGGGCCTCACTGGACCTCTTTGTTCTTCCCAGTGAAAGCCTGCTACCTAATTGTCCTGGGGAGAAGGAAAAGTCACACTATTTACCACAAATAAAGGGGTCACAGGCAGGGCTGGCCAGATTGCGCATCAGGTAAACACTCTTGCCACCAAGCTTGAGTTCGATCACCAAGTCCCACATTGTGGAAGGAGAGAACCAACTCCTGGAAGTGACCTATTGACCTCAATACTCAAGCTGTGGTGTGTGTGTGTATGCACAGACATGCAACACACACACACACACACACACACACACACACATTGTAGCATAATAAAAGAGGTATTTTCAGGCATGTTGGTTTAGATTTTGTGTTAAAAGGAATATGGTCAGAACAGCTCGGAAGTTGGCAGAGGGAGCTTGGCAGGGACAAGAGGGGCTGGCCCAGCTAGTCAGGTGACAGTATCTATGCATGGGGTGGCTCCAGGGGCTCAGTGTGGGACAGAGCCCATGTAGCGCTGTGAGCGCAGAGTTGGCTTGGAGGGCCAGGGCCCAGTGCAGAGGGCTTTGGGGAAGGAGAGGCCAGGACGTGGAGTCTCCCCTCAGTTCTGCGAGCTGGATGCTGCATCCTGACCCCCAACCTTCTCACTCTGGCTTTCCTGAGGACAATACCAGCACCCACTTCATGGTGTCCCTTCAACATTGAACCCCACCATGACTGCCTAATCAAGTAGTGGCCAGCAGAAAGAAGGGTCTTCAGAAGGGACCCTGTCACTGATACCCTCATGTTCTCCAGGCAAAAATCTAGTCTTGCCACTTTTCAGGGGACAGCGGGGTACAGACCTCTGGAGCTATGGGCTGTGTAGGGGGCCCGGTTCTGCCCTGTGAAGCCCGATTCACACTGTGAGAATGTGCGCGGGCTCAGCAGTGAGGGGGCAGGACAGGAGACACTGCTCTCCCTGGGCTGCACCACAGTCTGCACAGGAGACCTCTGTCACCACCTGTGGTCATCCGGGCTCAGGATTTCTCCCCACAAGTGAGGGAGCCACTGCTTCTGCTGTGAGCACCAGCCAAGCCTTTCCATCTGATTCCACATCTCCAGGTGTATGGACCGGGTCAGACCTAACAGCTGAGGTCTCGGTTCCCAAGACTGCTCTCCCTTTTTTATTTATTTATTTTTTTGTTTTGTTTTTTGAGACAGGGTTTCTCTGTGTAGCTTTGCACCTTTCCTGGAACTCACTCTGTAGTTCAGGCTGGCCTTGAACTCACAGAGATCCGCCTGCCTCTGCCTCCCGAGTGCTGGGATTAAAGGCGGGCACCACCACTGCCCGGCTATTTATCTATTAAAAAAAAAAAACTTTATTTAAAATTGGGCCTAGAATGGTGTCACACGCCTTTAGGAGCCAGAGGCAGGAGGATCCCAAGGGCTTGCTGAGCAATCTGTAGTCTAATAAGCAAGCCCAAGGCTCAGTGAGAGACCCTGTCTCAAACAAAACAAAACGAAGTGAGATGGATGGCTGTTGAACAATTACCTGAGGTTGACCTGTGGCCTCCATGCCTATACATGCACACTCACACTTACATAAGCACACCCACTTACACATACGCACCCCGTACATAGACACACAAAA